ACTCAGACACACGTACATACATACAAACGTACATATGATCCTTTTAACAAGTGTATGCTGCGTCCCACGGCGAAGTTGCCGCACTTGATGGTAATCCGTTGCCATCTGGCTCAAGCCTCGAGCGAACTCCGCCCGTATGCTTTCTGCCGCTCGCGCGGCGGCCGATCTGCTGCTGCCAGAGCTGGGCCGCGGGCTGAGCACCGGCGTGGCGCTCTACGCGGCCAACCAGGGGCACGCCCAGTGCCCTGCGTGCTCGTGCGCGCCGCAGCTCCACTGCCCGGAGCTGCGGTGCGACTGCTCAGGCCTGCAGGGCTCGAGCAGCCAGGGGCCGAGCCTCTGGGCCGTGGCGCTAGCCTGCGCCACCAGCGGGCTGGTCGGGGCCTGCACCGCGGCGCTGGTCTTCTGGCGCGCCGGCGGCTGCTTCGTGGCGGCCCGCTGCCCGCAGGTCGGCAGTGGCGTGCAGCCTGACTTCGAGGAGGAGGCCCGAGCTCAGGCGCGTGTGGCTCGCGCCAAGGCTCTGCAGCAGTGATGGCGGCGCCGGCGCCGCCGGCCTACCCGTCGGTGGCCGCGGCGGGCGTTCAGCCCGGTGACTTCATCGGGGTGCAGTACCATGTGGCGGGCGCGGTGCTGATCCACGAGCGCGTGGTGGTGCTGGTGCCGCCGGGGCTACCTGGCGCGGCCTGCATCATCACGCCCGACGCGGACGAGTACGACGAGCTGTACGTGGGCTCGCCGGACGTGCTGCGGTGGGACATCTTCCCTGGTGGCGCGGCGGGAGGCACGATGGCGTGGGCGCCGGGCGCCCGCTACTACAGGTTCCGCAGCCTGCCGACGCCGGCCACGCTGCTGACGGCCGCAGCCGCTGCCGCAGGCCGCCTCGGCCTTGCCTTGCAGCCCCGCCTGGGCCCATCGTGGCCAACGCAGGTGGGCGGGCGCTGGCAGCGCCGGCGGCGGCGGCAGCGGGTGCGCTGGTGCCTGCCGCCGCGGCCCCGGCCGCCGCCCCCGCTGCGGGCGTGGCCGGGCTGGTGGCCGCCTTGGGGGGCCCCGCGGCGGCGCCCGGGGCTCCCGTGCCCCTTCTGCTGGGCGGCGCGGAGGCGCCGGCCCCTGCGCCCGCGCCGGCGCCCGCGCCGGCGCTTCCAGGCGCTGCGGCGCCTGCCGCACCGCCTGGCGCCCAGACCGACGCCCGCGTGCTGCCCGTGGCGTACAACGCCCTCGGCCAGAGGAAGCTGGGCTTCGCGGAGGCGGTGCTGCGCCTCGTGGAGCACGAGTGGCCGGACTGGCCCATCTCGGGGCCGCGTACTACGCTGTGGGTGTGCCTGTTCATGAAGGACAACGGGATGTCGCCGCTGGGCCGCCACAGCAAGTGGCGGTCGGAGGGCCGCCTTGCGCTTGCCGACGCGGGGGTGGCCGAGCACGAGCGCTGCTGCTTCTACCTGGAGCAGATGGTGTGCTACGACTTGCTGAACGTGCCGGACGTGGCGGCGGCGGAGATGGTCTACAGGAGTATCCAGGTGCAGGAGGAGAGGTGGCGGGAGCGGTTCGTCACCAATGCCGACGAATCGCTCGACTCGCACCTGTTCTACGGCACCTCGGCGAACCGGGGCAACGTGTGTGTGCATCCCCAGCTGCTGGCGTACGTCAGCGGCGAGCTCGCGAAGGAGTACGCCGTGGCCAAGGAGAGGCGCAAGGCGCGCGAGGAGCGCCAGAGCGCCAGGGCGCCGAACAACAAGGACAAGAAGGGCGGCAAGGACAAGGACAAGGAGGAAGGCAAGGGGTGAGGAGGAGCGGGCAGCGGGACGTGGGGCCACCCGCTGCGCAGAAGCTCGAGCACCAGGCCCTTTTTCGCGGCCCCAGCGCCGCCGCCGATGATCTTCGCCATCGGGATCTTTTTCCGCTACCTCACGTGGCTCGGCGGTCCGAGCGCGTGCCCGAGCGCCGCCCCTGCCGGGCCGTGCGCCAGCGGCTCCGCCGCTCCGACGTGCTGCTGCAGTGGGCCGACCAGGGCGTCGACGCGCTCAATTGCCTGTGCGGCCACGCTGGTGCACCTCCGTCGGCGCCCGCGAACCTGGGGCAGCTGACCAGCCTGAACTTTTTGGAGGACTGCTACCTGGGGATGGGCGCGATGCCGAGCGAGCCAGGTTTTTGTGAAGAAGCCCTCCGCGAGCTTCTCAGTGGCTCCACCGTCTACGCTGAGGATGGTGGCGCCCGGGTCCCGTACTCGAAGGAGCTGGTCTCCTGGCCTGAGGTGGGCTCCAGCCCCGTCGACCCTGTGGGCTGCCTCACTCAGGATGACGCTGATTGGGCACGGGATTGGCGACATAACTTGCTCAAGACGCCCGACGAGGCGCTGCTCGGGGCCCGACAAGCTTGCCCACGCGGACCTTCCGTCGACCCTCGGTTGGCGCGAGATCCAGTTTTGTATGGTGACTTTGTTCGGCGGCTTCATCAATATGGAATGTTGCGCTTCAAGGTAGCCCCCACTGCCAAGCACATGATTGGTGTATTTTTTTGCGAGGAAGAAGTCCGGCAAGCTTCGCATAGTGTTCGACACGAGGTACGCCAACGCCTTCTTCCACCCGGCGCCCGCGACGCGGTTGCCTACAGCGGCTGCGGTGTCTTCGGTGGAGTCGGGCGGCTTGCCGTTATGCGTGGCGGCGGGCGACCTCGACAATGCCTTCTACCGTCTCAGGCCCATGTCGGGCTTAGAGGACTACTTCACGCTGCCGCCGCTTTCCTCCTCCCTGGCGGGCGTCGCCGAGCTGGAGGGGGTGAGCATTCCGGCAGGGGCCAGCCTGGTTCCTTGCCTTACCATCCTGCCCATGGGGTGGTCGTGGGCGATGCACTTCTGCCAGGCTGTGACCATGCGCGCCATCTCGGTGGCGGGCTTCGCGGACTCGCAGATCGTGGAGGACGGTCGCTCCAGCGTGGCCCTGCCCGCCCGCTCAGACACGGCGGCGGCGGGCTACGTGGGCAATTTCTACGTCTTCGGCCACGACGCCTCGCTGGTCACGCGGCGCCGAGATGACGTCTCGGCCGTGCTGCGCGGGTGGGGCTTGACGGTCCACGAGGAGACGGATGCCACCCCAGACGCCGCCCTGGTGGGCCTGGAGCTTCGGCAGGGCCGCTGGCTGTCGATCAAGCGCCGCAACCTGTGGCGGCTCCGTGCGGCGCTGGACACCGTGCTGCGAAGGGGCTGCTGGTCCAGCAAGATGCTTGAGGTGCTGGTGGGCCACATCACGTGGGCCTGCTTGATCCGCCGGGAGCTGCTCTGCGCGTTGAGCTCCGTGTACCCGTACATGGCGGCCGGCTTGCCGACGACCTCGCGGCTGTGGCAGTCCGTGCGCCAGGAGCTGTGGCTCATCCGCTCGCTGCTCCCGCTCCTTCAGAGGGACCTGAGCAGCCCCTGGCACGACGTGGTCGGAGTGAGCGACGCCTCCGAGTTCGGAGTCGGCGTCGCCGTGCGGTCGGCGCGGCCCGACGTTGCGGCGCAGCACGGCCGCCAGTGCGAGAGGTGGCGTTACCGGGTGCACGGTGCCCAGAAGGCCCGAGAGAGAGCCCTCCGCCCGCAGCCTCTACCATCCTCCGCATACGCCACAGCTTCGCTGCCTGCGGGACTGCGCGGCCTGGACGTCTTGGGGCTGGAATCCTTCATCAGGGTGCACCCCAGGGAGTTCATGGAGGTGCCCAAGGAGTTCTTCGACGGGGCTCGCTGGGCTCCTGTTATCGCCTCAAGGGTCGTCGTGCCCGACAACATTCTGGCTCTGGAAGGGGGACGCGTGTGTCTTGGGCATCAAGCACATCATGAGGTCCAGGGCCGCTTTCGGGAAGCACCTACTTCTGTTCGTCGACAACATGCCGTTGGCCCTGGGATGTTGCAAGGGAAGGGCCGCATCCATTCATCTTCGTCGTTCTCTTCGAAAACTGTGTTGTTTGGCGCTGTGTTCAAATTGTACTATTCACATACGCTGGACGTGTAGCGAGTTCAACCCTGCCGATCCTCTGTCTCGTGGTCGTTTAGGCTGGTTCACAGGGCCTTACCGACGCGCTGCCGCCGCCAAGCCTGGCTGCTCACCTGCGGGGCCCCCTGGGGCTGACGGGCCGACACCTGAAGGAGCGGGGCTCGATGGCGGGTGCCTCGGCCTCTCGCCGCCAGGCGGGTCGCCACCGCAGAGCTGCGGCGGCTCGCCAGGTGGCGTCCGAGCGGGGGCCCTCGGGCGGCCTCTCGGTGCCGGAGCGGACAGCGGTCAGGCCGGGCACGGATCGCCTATACCAGGTTACCTCCGGGCCTTCCTGCAGTTCTGCCTCGTTATGGCCATCGACTGGACGAGCGAGGCCGAGATGGACGCGGCCCTGGTCACGTACCTGAACTCGATGTACTTCGAGGGTCGCGCCCCGAACGAGGGCTCTGTGCTGCTGGCGTCGCTGGCGCACTACACGCCGGCGCTGTACAAGAGGACGGCTCAGGCCTTGCCGAGGGCGACGCGCTGCTTGGCGGGCTGGCGCCGGCGCGTCCCGACCAGGATGCGCCTGCCGCTGCCGCGCAGGGCCGCCTTCGCCATCGCCGGGACGCTGGCGGCCTGGGGTCAGCCGCGCATGGGGCTCTTCGTGATGCTGTCGTTCGCGGCCTACCTCCGCCCGCAGGAGGCCTTCCGTCTGGCCGGGCGTCACCTCGTGCCGCCGGTGGCCCACTTGGGTCAGGCCCCCACTCCGTGGGGCCTGCTGCTGCACGACTCCGACTTGCAGCTGCCCGGGAAGACCAACCTGTGGGACGAGAGCGCGCTGCTGGACCAGGCGCTGGGCTCGAGCCAGCCCTGGAGGCGCTGAGGACTGTCGCGGGCGACGGCCCCCTCTGGGACTTCCTGCCTACGTCGATTGCTCGGCTCTTCGAGGATGCCTGCCACGCCCTGGGCCTGGCGCACCTGCAGCCGCATCTATTCTCCCTCTGACACGCGGGGGCCAGCGAGGATCTGTTGTCGGGCGCCAGGACGCCGGAGCAGGTCATGCGGCGGGGTCGCTGGGCCACTGTGGCCTCGCTCCGCCGCTACGGCAAGGAGACCCGCCTCCTCCGGGAGGCCGCCAAGGTGGACCCCGACGTGCTGCTGTTCGGCGAGATCGTGGAGCGCAACTTCCTGGACGCGCTGCGGGGCGGCCCCTTGCTGCCGCTGGTGTGGGACGAGCTGCCTGCGAGCGTCTGCCCCCGCCTGCGGGGGGGGCCCGGGGCCCCCGACGCCACGCGGCGCCGCCGGCGCTGACGGCGTCGCCGCAGGCCGCGCGGCCTCACCCGCAGCGGCGGTACCGCCGAGGCCGCGCAGGCGCCAGCAAGTGGAGGAGCTGCTTGTTTCTGGAACTGTTCGCGGGGCAGGGTCGCATCTCCAAGCGCATTGGGGACCTGGGCTACGGGTGCCTGGACCTTGACCTCGCGCACGGGGCCTGCGAGGATCACCTCCACACCACGTTCGAGTCGGTGGTGCGCGGGTGGCTGCTGAGCAAGGCCATTGTAGGTCTGTGGTTGGAAACTCCCTGTACGTCCTGGTCCCAGGCTCTCAGAGACCCTTTGCGCTCCAGTCGTTTCCCCATGGGTAAACCAGGTTTGTCAGGAGCTCGGCTGGACCGCCTCCGCGTAGGCAATCGCTCGTTCCACTTTTCCTGCCGGCTCATCCGGCTCTGCATTCAGATTGGCTTCCCTGTCTTTTTGGAGAACCCTCGGGGGTCGCTGCTCTGGCACGCCCCCGAGATGGTCAAGCTTCTCTCGGATTCATCGCGCACCGTTCACAAGATGTACATGTGCCGCTTTGGTACACCCTTTAAGAAGCCAGCGACGGTGGCCTGCTGGAATGCAGGCGTCTTCCCCAGCTTATGTAAATCGTGCTCTGGCAAAGGAGGCATCTGCTCGTCGACTGGCCTTCCTCACCTCATCCTCCAAGGTCGGGACAAAGGTGCGCCTGCCCGCCGCGCCGAGCTTGCCGCGGCGTGCTCGCCTCAGTTCGCCCGCGCTGCCGCCCTTGCCATGACACATTCGGCCAATGCACTCAGAGAGACATGGATGATGGATGCTGCTTTCAAAACCATGTAGTCTCAATTCGGTAGTTTAGGATTTGTCACGTGCGTAGTTCGTTTTCGGCCACTGGTGTGGCCAGGACTGCTCTGCGGGATTCGGGTGGCTCTCTTCAGTGTCTTTGAAGGTGTGCGGCTCTCGCCGGGATCAGCTTTCAGTTGTATAGCCTCCGGTACGCCGTGGCCTCGCCCTCCCGCGCTCGCCCCCATAGTAAATACATCGTCCTGGCATCTGGGGAGTGGAAGTAGCTGATCCTTTTAACAAGTGTATGCTGCGTCCCACGGCGAAGTTGCCGCACTTGATGGTCATCCGTTGCCATCTCGCTCAAGCCTCCCCTCCCGCTCCTCCCTTGCTCTCTCTCTCTCTCTCTCTCTCGTTTGCACGGATTTCAGGTGGCTCTCTTCAGTGTCTTTGAAGGTGCGCGGCTCTCGCCGGGATCAGCTTTCAGTTGTATAGCCTCCGGTATGCCGTGGCCTCGCCCTCCCGCGCTCGTCCCCATAGTAAATACATCGTCCTGGCACCTGGGGAGTGGAAGTAGCTATACATTCACCTACCCACATGCAGACATACCTGCACGCAGACCTGCGTATATACATACGTACATACAGGCATGAGTGGATAGATGCATGCACACATATACACAAACGTGCATACATGCATACATACACACCGGCACATGCATACGCACATAAATACATACGCACATGCATTCACACATACAGGCATACTTACATACATTCACTCATGCACGCATACCTACAAACACCCTTGCTTAGCTACATGCGCACACACATACGTACATACATACGTAGGTGTACACGCGTATACACATGCTACATTCATACGCATATATGTACATGCATGCATGCATGTATAAACGCACACATACATCTGTACAACCATACGTACTTATACACATACACGCTTACATATTCACGTATATACATTGCTTCATACACACACGCACACATAGCTACATGCAAACCTGCATACACGCATACATACACGCATACATACATACACTGGTGTATACCTACATGCCGACATGCATACATATCAGAGTGAGGGGGCCGAACGGTCATTCACTGTCCCTGAGTGCGTGGCTGAAGTGGAATTCCGCGGTGCGGTTTCTTGTTGTTGTTGATTGTTTGTTTGTTTGTTTGTTTGTTTGTTTGTTTGTTGTTGTTGTTGTTGGTGTTGTTGTTGTTGGTGTTGTTGTTGTTGTTGTTTGTTGCTGTTGCTGTTGCTGTTGCTGTTGTTGTTGTTGTTGTTGAACATTATTACTTCTAAAGAATAATTATTGTTGGGGCCCCTGGTGCACGACCCCCCCGCCGCGCCTAGGCCGCAGCCACGTTTTCATCATTTTCGTGAGGAAGTCTCAGGCAAAACGGGTTGGTCCGGATCCGGTTGTGTTGTTACGATCGGTTTTCCTTGCAAAAAATAAGCTAAAGTGGACATTTCTTGTTCTAACATAACCAAACTTCAAGAATCCCTTGCAAAAATAAGGTAAAGTGGACATTCGCGCGCGCAAGACGAAATCCTTCCAAAACCTTAGTTTTCGTAGCGATTTTAACATAAAAACATCAAAAAACCAATGGTTTTTCAAAAAAAAATGTCAAAATTTCATCCCGCGCGCTCTTGCGGATTCGTAGGAAACCCAACACTTTTTAAACATTTCTGTCAAACGGGCTTTTGCGAGCAACTTTTTCGAACTTCTGCAACAACGGTTGCGCACCTGCCAGGGCCATCATCCCTGTCAAATAATACCATGCGGGACACATTCGTTTTTTCTTCGCGCGCGCACGCCGTCGTCGTCGGCCGCGGGGCCCTGAATAGTAGCCACGGTCGTCCGCATGCCACGAAGTGAAGTGTCCGAACGTCATAGGGCGGGAAGCTGGGTGTGGGTGGTGGCGAAGAGTCGTTTGGAAATTTGGTAGAGCTTGAACCGGCCCCCCCACAAAGTGGGGGTATTGCCCGCCTCCTATGAAAACCCTGGCACTGGTGAGAACGGAGTGTCCCCACGTGCTAGTAATTGTTGTTGTTGAACATTATTAATTCTAAAGAATAATTATTGTTGGGACCCCTGGTGCACGGCCCCCCTGCGCCGCCTAGGCCGCAGCTACATTTTCATCATTTTCGTGAGGAAGCCTCAGGTAATTCGATGTGATCAAGATCCGGTTGTTTTGTTCCCCCCCGCTTTCCCTTGCAAAAAACACTATAAAATGACATTTCTTGTTCTAATATAATCAAATTTCAAGAATCCCTTGCAAAAAATAAGGTAAAGTGGACATTCGCGCGCGCAAGACGAAATCCTTCCAAAAGCTTAGTGTTCGGAACGATTTTAACATAAAAACATCAAAAAACCAATGGTTTTTCAACAAAAAAATGTCAAAATCTCATCCCGCGCGCTCTTGCGGATTCGTAGGAAACCCAACACTTTTTAAACATTTCTGTCAAACGGGCTTTTGCGAGCAACTTTTTCGAACTTCTGCGACAACGGTTGCGCACCTGCCAGGGCCATCATCCCTGTCAAATAATACCATGCGGGACACATTCGTTTTTTCTTCGCGCGCGCACGCCGAAATCTCCAAAAACCATTGGGTTCTTAAGAATTTTAGCACCGCGCATCATAAAATCACACGAATCGCACCGTAGGTCCTCGAAAAACACCTGCACGACTTTTCAAAATTTCCACCCGCGCGCGCTGTCCTAACAACTTCTGTGGGTGTGTACTCCACGCCAGTGTAGTAGCCACGGTCGTCCGCAGGCCACGAAGTGAAGAATAGTAGCCACGGTCGTCCGCATGCCACGAAGTGAAGTGTCCGAACGTCATAGGGCGGGAAGCTGGGTGTGGGTGGTGGCGAAGAGTCGTTTGGAAATTTGGTAGAGCTTGAACCGGCCCCCCCACAAAGTGGGGGTATTGCCCGCCTCCTATGAAAACCCTGGCACTGGTGAGAACGGAGTGTCCCCAGTCTTAAATAATTGTTGTTGTTGTTGTTGTCGTCGTCCCACCCGCAACCCGCCCCGCGACCCACCCGCGACCCACCCTGCGACCCACCCGCGACCCACCCGCGACCCACCCCGCGACCCACCCCGCGACCCAACCCCCGCGACCCACCCCGCGACCCACCCCGCGACCCGCCCGCGGCCCACCCCGCGACCCACCCGCGACCCACCCGCGACCCACCCGCGACCCACCCGCGACCCACCCGCAACGCACCCCGCGACCCACCCGCGACCCACCTTCGACCCAAACCACCTTCAAGGTACAAACCACCACTTTCGGCGCCTGCGGCGGTTTTTTTTCTGCATTCCTTCCAGGTGGAGAGCCCGCGACCCACCCCGTGACCAACTCGCGACCAACCCGCGACCCAAACCACGTTCATGGTACAAACCACATTTTTCGGCGCCTGCGGCGGGCATCGTTTGTTTTCGCTTCAGGTGGAGAGCCCGCGGCCCACCCGCGACCACGTTCAGGGTACAAACCATATGTTTCGGCGCCTGCGGCGGGCATCTTTTGCAGTCGTTCCCGGTGGAGAACCCGCTACCCAAACCACGTTCAATGTACAAACAAGTTTTTTTGGCGCTTGTGGCGGGCTGCTTTTGCATTCCTCCCACGTGGAGGTGGGGAGCCCGCGACCCACCCGCGACCCAAACCACGTTCACGGAACAAACTAATGCCGCACAAGCGCGGCGGCGGATTTTTGCATGCCGTTTGGGCCCGCAAGGACCTCTTCAAGCCCCGCGCATCCACACCAGCCCGTCCAGCAACGTTGCCCTGGCGAGTTGCCTTGATCAGAGAAGTCGGGGAGCATAGAGTGAAAAACAGGATTGCGTTGCAGGTATCTTGGGAAAGGAGGGGGGGCAGGAGGAGTAAGCAGGGGACGAGGAGGACGCGGAAGAAGAGATGATGTAAGGAGAATGTGGAGAAAGGAGGAGGAGCAGGAGGACGAGGAGGGGGAGGAACGGAATGGAACGGAACGGGAGTGCCCGCGGGGGGAGTGCACAGCACTAAAGATGCAAGTGAACATATTGGCAACAAAACTGGGATATTCCCTACGCCTCAGGCGAGGACCAAAACTTATCCTTTGGACTGGGCCTCTCTGGCCAACTCCTTTACACGAATTCGTTCAAACAAAGCCGCCACTCGTTGCTCATAGGGAGGGGCCGCATCAGCACTGGAGAAGGATGTCCTCACCACGGTGGGTGCTTCCTGACACGGAGGGTCGGCGGAGAGGCGCAGCCTCTGGAAGGGAACCGCACAGGAGGACGAGGTGGGGGAGGAGGGGGAGGATGATGATGATGGACGACAATGGGAGGACGATGATGGAGGCCGATGAGGGGGAGGACGACAATGGGAGGACGATGATGAAAGGACGAGGGGGGGAGAGGGAGGACGAGGAAGAAGAGGAGGAGGAGGACGAGGTGGAGGAGAAGGATGACGATGACGATGAGGACGGGGACGAGGAAGATGAGGAGGAGGAGGAGGAGGAGGAGGAGGAGGAGGAAGAGGAGAGCGCCATCGACAAGGAAGGTGTGGGCCACGAGATCCGCCGGCTCGACGACGCCCGCGTCGCCCGCGCCCGCCCCCTCACTCTTATCCGCAATTGCGGGGTGTTACGTATACATACACATGTGACATACACACGTACATGATTGCATGCATGCATGGCTACATGTATACATGTATGCATGCATTTATATTTATATTCATATATATAGATATACGTATTAACATATGCACGTGCGCACATATGTGCATGTATACGTACAATCGGTATCTGTACAGAGATATACGTATACTTGGGTGGTCTGGGATTGAGGTTGTGTCTTCAGTGCGTTGCAGTTCGAGGCCCCCCGCCCGCAGCTTCTCATTGTCCAGAAGGGGCTACCGCGCCAGGCTCCGACAGGAGGTCCGCGCCTGTCTGCGGGTTTGGTCGCCTGTAGAGCCTCGGCTGTGTTTTGTTTGCGCCGATTGGGTAATGTGAGGAGGAGGAGGAGGAGGAGGAGGAGGAGGAGGAGGAGGGGGGGGGACGAGGACGAGGAGGAGGAGGAGGACGAGGAGGAAGAGGAGGAGGAGGAGGAGAGGGTGGAGGAGGAAAGGAGGAGGAGAGGAAGGCGGAGGTGGAAGAGGAGGAGGAAAAGAGGAGACGGAGGACAGGAGGAGGAGGGGGACCCCACAACATCGCCGTACACCCGACGGTGCGTCTTGCTCACCACGTGGAACCACGGAGGTCTGGATCAGTTTCTAGAAACTGGTTTCTCGGGGCCCATGGAGATCGAACACACATTAGCAAACCTTCGCAGCCGCGACTCCTCGTAAGTTGCGGATGTCAGCATTTGGGGAACGCGGCGGCCACGCGAGGCGCCACAGGAAGAAAAGAATAATCAGGAGGAGCAGGAGGAGGAGGAGGAATAATATGATGAGGACTCGCCTGAAGGAGGTGGGTCCTGAGAGAAACGGGTCCTGGACCCCACGGGGCCTTTCCCGGGACCAGCTCTTCGTCCTGCGCTAGTTTTTGACAGTCCCAGGCCCTGTGGAAGGCCCCCCCCAGTCTTGAAACGTCAAAGAGGAAATTCGGTGCCTATTTATCTGAGGACACGTTTCCTTCTGGGCGGGCAGAGGAGGAGGCGGAGGAGGAGGAGGAGGAGTTACAGGAGGAAAGGTAGGAGGAGGACGGAGGAGGAGGTGGGGCAGGAGGAGGAGGAAGAGGAGGAGGAGGAGGAGGAGGAGGACGAGGAGGCGGGGGAGGCGAAGGGTGAACAGGAGGAAAACGAGGAAGAGAAGGAGGAGGAGGAGGAGGAGGAGGAGGAGGAGGAGGAGGAGGAGGAGGAGGATGCGGTCGTCGTCCTCCTCCTGGCCGCGCCAGTCTGCTTCGACTTCACACGGGGGCGGTGCTACAGGGAGCGCTGCAGGTTCGAGCACGTGATGCCGCCGCTGCAGAGCGGCGGCTCTGCCCCGAGGACGCCCTTCTTGGTACGAAGGGGGCGGAAGGGAGGAGGATGGAGGAGGAGGAGGTGGAGTAGGAGGAGGAGGACGAGGGCGAGGAGGAGAGTGGGGAGGATTGCGGGGGGGAGGTGGAGGGGAGCAGGAGGAGAGGGAGGGGTGGGAGGCGGGGGCGGGATGAGGCGGAGGATGGGCTCCAGAGGCTCCAGATGAAGACGAGGGGCTCCGAGAGCGAGGCACCAGGCCAACAGACATCGTTTTCGTACAGCTAGCAGCGGCCAGCGACGCTAGAAGATGTGAGTTGGCCGGTGGAGCCCGCTGCCTACATTTTCGCCGAGCGGCACCCGTCCCTGGAGACCGGGAGGCGGGCGGGAGGGAGGAGGAGGGGAGTTTGACGTGGTCGTGATCGGCTACCGTTCCGTCGCGGTGTGCCCTGCTGATCACAGCGGTCGCGGGATAAACCGCGTCGCCGCTCGCAGGAAGACGGAGGACCCAGTCCTCGCGCGGTGGAGAACAATATTCCATAGCTGAAGTTGTTGGCAAGCTTCGATCTTCCTTCCTAGGGGCCGCCAGCAAACACGTCTCGGGAAGGAACGCATGTCCGGGGGAAGGGGCCTGCGCAAACCTCTGATGGCCTACACTGTGAGAAAGAGTCACGACGTCGAAGGTTTGGGGAGGACGGTTTTGCACCGTCTTTGGGTGCTTGCCTGATGTGGGGTTCCGCGGTGCGCGTTCTTTGTTTTTCCCTGCCGTCGTCCCACCCGCGACCTAGCCGGCCTGCGCCCCCATTATTTTTCCACACTTGCGTATCGATAGCGCGCAGAAAGCCGGAGGCCTGGATGGGGTCGTTTGGTTTCTCCTCCATTATATCCGTGTGTGAAGATAGAGGCTGATCAGATGGAGCTGCGCTTGCAGGGCTGCGAAAGGTAGTGAAGTGGCCCCGCGTCGAACGCAGTGGTGGAGACATCATCGCTGAGCTGAACATTGGGGAGCGACCCGCGGATGAGTCATGGACTATGCTTCCCAATTTGCATGGTAGACCAGGTCTTGCAGGTAGGCAAGTTTCTTTCGCAGGGCATGATATAACAAGTGGCAGTTCCGCCGCTGCACGGCTGTATGATTCGCCATTGCCACAAGGATGACCAAGCGTCGTAAGTGCCAGGCGGAGGTCAAGGAGGGGCGTCGACACGCGCTCGATCGAGACCAAGTGCAGAGGGAGCGGGGCTTTGAACAGGACACGCAGTAAGTGTGGCAATGTGTTCGAACCCACGGACCTTTCGGGCACGATTCCTCGCCCGTGTGGCGTGCACGAGACATGGTGCCGATTGCTCCACCCGTGCAGTGGGGGCCCGTGCCAAGAAACACCCTGCTTGCCTCCAGGGTGCCCTGTGTACCTTGGGTTTCGATGGCTCCCCCATGGAAAGCGTGACGCTCCCACACCAAACATCGATGGACGCCCTGGGCTCTCAGGGTTGGCGTTCTTGTGGAAGGCCCCTGGTGGCCGGGCCCCTACCTCGGCCAGTGTAAGCCGAATGCCACGGGTGGTGCTCGGGCATGGGGTGCGGGGCGCGGGCGGGGACGCAGCAGCCAGGGCGAGAGGTCGTGCGCGGGGTCGTGGGCAGCCGGCACCTGGTGCCAACAAATTCGCACCGCGGCGCCCTGCGGGCCACGGTCAGGGCCATGCGCCGATGCTGCGTTTTTTTTGTTGTCGGGCGATGGCTCGAGAGCCCGTGGTGGCGTGGCCCTCCCTCCCCCGACCCGGGCTCTCGACCCTTCCCGCGGAGCCGGCTTTGCGCCAGGGTCGCTTTCGGGTGATATTCTCTGTGGCGTGCACCGTCCAGCTTGCCTTCGCAGCCTTCCTGGGCATGGCAGCTGCCCTCCACCCTGGTCGTGTGTCCCCAGAGAGCTGATGTTGTCAAGGCGGCGATCCCACGCAGGTCGTCCGCGGGGGCGGCGCCGAACGGATCTGCCAGTGCTGGTGCGCTTCTAATCTTCCGCGAGGCGACCCGTCGCCTCGAACGGCAGGCGAGCTGCCCCCCAGCCCATGCAGCCGGGACGGTCTCCAGATGCTGGTATGTGGAGGTGGTTTTGTGCGTAAAGTTGTGTGTTTTGTGTGTGTGTGTTGTGTGTTGTGCGTGTTGTATGTGTGTGTGTGTTGTATGTGTGTTGTATGTGTTGTGTGTGCTGTGTATGTTGTGTGTGTTGTGTGTTGTGTGTTGTGTGTGCGTTGTGTATATGTGTATGTGTGTGCGCGCGTCTCCTTGCGTTTCCCCCGTCCTCCCCAATTCGCATCCGTCCCTCGTTTGGTATGTACCTTCCACTTGGTCGCGTGTCTCCGTGGGGCTGTTCTCCGACTTCTGCGAGCCGACTTCTGCGACCGTGGGGGTCCCATGCAGCCGGGGCTGTCTCCAGGTTCCGGGTTTTATGCAGAGGTGGTTTGTGTGCATGTGTGTCTGTGCGTGTGCGTTCGGCTTCTCCTTCCCATCCGGGCTCTCTTGGCGATCGGTTCTCCCTTTTCTTGCCCTCCCCCTCCTTGTTCCGCCTCCTCCTCCTCCTCCTCCTCCTCCTCCTCCTCCTCCTCCTCCTCCCCGTTCCCCCTCCTTCGTCTCTTATCCCGGCCCCCGCCTTCGTTTCCCTCCTCCTCCCCTTCCCTGGCCGCCACGAGTGCCTCTCTCCTGACCGCCACGAGGGCATCTCGCGCGTCTGTGCTCGCATGCCCACGCAGTCAAAACCCCGGCCCGTCTTGCCCCCCCTGGCCCGCCCAGCGCGGCCGTGGCTGCTGCTCGCCGCCAGCTGGTGGACCAGACTCCTTGGACGACCACGCGCCGCAGACCGCCAATCCGGGCGCCCGCAGCTCACTCTGGCGAGATGCGTGTTTCCATAGTGGCGGCCTTCTCCCCGCGCGGAGGGCTTCTTCCCCGACAAGGAAGGGCATTTATTCGCCTCACCGCGGAGGTTGCGCGTGAGCTCCGGGCGGGCTCGGCCGAGGTGGTTTGCCACGGCGTGGCCGACCTCTGTAAGCTGACCCGGCCGCTCGATGCCCCCACGAGAGGCTGGCAGGGGTGCGAGTGCGCCGTTGCCGTTCGGTGCCTATACACCGCGCCGTTGTGTCTCGCGGCCTGGTGGTCGGGGCGTTCGAGGAGAGACGGTGCAGTGAGACGGTGGGCGGGGGCGGCGCCTGGGTGCGCGTGCCCCGCGTCGGCAAGGATGCGGCTCTGGTTTTGCATCGGCAGCCTGCTGGCGCAAGCGCCTTCGGCATCATAGACCACCTCGTGAGGACGGCGTCGTGGCTCGACCTGGACCGGCCGGCGGCCCACGCGCCCCGCGGGAGGCGAGCCCCTCCCGAGCTGTCAGCTCTACCGTGAGCACGCGCACGCGGAGCGGAACGAGGGTGACGGCGGGCAGAAGCCCCGGGGGGGGGGGGAAGCGCGCCAATCCGGTGTAGCCAGGACCCCGGGTAAGGGGACCCGGGATAGTGGTAGGGCCCTGGGGCCCATCAAATGGCCAGATTCACTAAGACAGGCTTGCCGTAACTGATGTTTTCCGGGTGACGGCAGTTCTAGCGGAACGGGGCGGAGGGGGCGCCCCCGTTACACATCACTAAACCAGCTTCCACTAAACCCAGTTCTGCCAACTCCCGAGCCAAGGGCGGGCAAAGCATGCAAGGGCAAGGGCCAAGGCAAGGAGTGCCAGAGCGCGCGCGGCGAGCTCCAGGCCGCCCAGCGGCCCGGCGTCCTGGCGCGTGCGGCGGCTGCTGAGCCGGCCGTGTCGGCGGCAGAGGCTGCCGCCGGGGCTGCGGTGCAGGCGGCGGCGCTGGCCGAACGAGCCCAGAGACCTGCATGCTGCAGGAGAATACGGTGAATTCGCAGACTTTTGCACGCAAGGGCCTCATCATTGTCAAATCGCTGGTTTTTTGCAAGATTTGATGCTGTAGTCGGTGCTGGCCAGAGTTCCACATTTGCCTATGCGCTTTCCTGGGCGACGTTGTGCGACTCGCATGACACGCACGACTGGGATAGATTTTTGAACCTGCCCGGGAGCAGGGGGGTGAAGACGAGATGGGTTGGGGCGTCCACAGAGATTCCCCTCCTGTCGCCGTCGTTTTTGCTGGACTCATCTTGTCTATGATGAAAATCGCGCGTGGTGGCGCGTAAGTTTGGTGGTGCCCCCCCCTTCTCGCACACCCCCATCGCCTTCTACTCGATCCTGGCAGGATCTAGGCCACCGCGTTGACCCTCACGGCCCAGCCGTCTTTCGGGGCGTTTTCGCCGGAGGCGGAGGCGGAGGCGAATCGTGGAGGAGGCCTCCCAACCACAGGGTAGGCCATGCCGCGCAGGGGGCGTTGAGAAATGCAGCATTGGCACGCGTAGCCAAACAGTATCAGACTGGGCATTGGCGAAGAGATTACATGATTTGTCATATATGTTGTGCGCTTCAATTCTATGTTGTACATCCTGTGGATGGCGCAAGGAGTTGGCGCGATGCGTGATTCGGCGGCTCGGCGTAGCCCGGCTGCCAACGGGCTCGTGATGATTGCGACTGTTGACTCAGACCTTGTGATCGATGTGTCTGTTGATGCGGCACCATGTGCCCTTACTCTTTCATTCGTCGGCGACAGTACTGCGGCGCTTGCGGTCGCGCCGTGCAACACCCAGGAGGCGCAGAATCATGCGATGACGTGGTCCATGTGTCTACAAGACGCGGTGCGACAGAATGGAGGTATGGTGAAAAAGGTCCACGCGAAATTGGAAGTGGCGAACTCCGCTGACGAAGTCAAGCCAAACCATCCAAAAGCTCATGAAGGGGATGCGTTACGTAATTCGGATATCTTGGTCAAGCCTACGCCTCGGACTTGGCAACTCAGCAGAATGGCGGAGGTCTCACAGCCGATATAGGACTGCGCAATGCTGGCAAGGCATATCGGGGTCAAGACAGCTGATGAATGTGCAGACCTCGTTGGACATGCCGAGAGGGCTTCAGGGCCTCACTCCTGCTCTTCCTCCCCCCCTCCTGCCTCTCCGCTCTCCTCTTCTTCCTCTCCGCTCTCCCTCCGCTTTCCTTCCGCCTCCTCGTTCTGAAAGCGTCCCCGAACGTCCCATCCTCCCCTCCCCTCGTCTTTGCCGCCGTCGAAACGCTGCACCAAAGCACCTGATGTGTTCGTGAGATCTGTCGCGTGGTGGGAAATCGTTTGTCGCCGTTGCTGTCGTCGTCGTCGTTGTCCTTTCCGCCCCCGCTTCGCAGTCATTCCGTCCAGTGGCCTCCGCTTGGCTCTGCTCCCGTCATCGTCGTCCCTCGTCATTATCCTTGTCGTTTTCCTGGTGTCGCCGCCCTCGGCCCAGATGTCAGTTTGAGTGTTGCTGTTCTTCTCCAATGCGTGGTCCACAGAAACCTTTACATTTTCCCCGAGTGTGGGCTGGTCATTTTTCGTCCCGAGTGTCGTAATTAATTGTCGGTCATGAGGCACTATGAGGCCGAAAACGGTAACACCATTCCGTTTAAATGTCGCATGCGTTTCCGATTCGAGCGTGTGCCGTCGTCCTCCTCACCGTTCTCGTCGTTGTTTTTGTGGTCCTCCTTGTCGTCCTCGCCGTCCTCTTTGTCGTCGTGTTCTTCGTTGTCCTCCTCGGCATCCTCTTCGTCCTCCTCTTCGTCATGAGGTCCGGAGTAATCGTCCTGGTCCCCGACGCAGGGCACACTCTTGGCTGCGTGCCCAATATATATATATATATACATATATGTGTGTGTGTATATATATATATCCGCACCGCATTGGGCCGCGTAGGTTGGGCCCGACTGGCCACCTGCGTCTGCGAGCGAGCAGCGCGCCGCGGTTTCTTTCGATCAATTGTCCACCCGATTTGGATCTCCATGAGATTGTTGTTCTGAAGGAGCCGGCGATCAACTGGGTTGCCGGCCCCGCCCCCCGGTTTCGCAAGTCCGCCCTGGTGCGCGTTGGCGTACTGGTGCGCGCGGGTATACCTGGGGCTGCCCATTGCGAAAGGGTTTGGTTGTCGGCCTACGCGTCCCCCCCCCCCACACCAGATCACCCGGCTGATGTATCGCTGATTTTCTCTTTGGAAGACAAAACACGATGTGGTAGCCAGTTTAGGCCCTCCATGGATTGTTTTAAGGAGAGAGTGCGAAGTATACAACTATATGTGGTACAATCTATGTTTTGCAAGCTGTGTGGAGCAACCTATCTGCTGCAACACACGTGGTGCAATAGATGTTGTGCAGTCGATATTGTTCCAGTCTATGTTGTGAAATAAACCATATACGAACTATAATATATTATATGTGCTATATGTGGAGCAATCGATACTGTGAAACCGATGTAGTGCAATACATGTTGTACAGTCTATGTGGTGGAATATGTGTTGTGAGTTCCACGAAGAGCTATACATGTGGTGCGCTAGGTGCTGAGCAATCTAGGTTAAGTGGCATGTGAAGCAAAATCTGCTGAGCATTACTGGTTGTTCAATATATGTGGTGTGATCTACGTGGTGCAATACATGTGGAGCAGCGTATGTGGAGCGACCTATGTGGTGAAATAAGTGTTGAACAGTCGCTGTTGTGCAGTCACTGTTGCGCAATACATGTGGTGCAGTCTATGTTGTGCAACCCACTTCGACTGTCTTGAAGCTGTCCTCTCCACTGCTCGTGCAAACATCCCACCCTCCCACCCGCAACTTGGTCGCAAGACATCTTCAGACAAGACCGTGACGGTAGGTACTGCGTGGCACTTGGCCACGACACCGATGCCGACGACGACAGCGACATCGACGACGACGGCGCCGCCGACAGCGACTGCGACGACACCGACGACGTCTCCAATGTTTTCGACGACGACAACGACGACGACGACACCGACGACGACGACAACGACGCCGACGACGACGACGAAGACGACGACGACGTCGCCAACGGAGACGACGACGAGGGAGGAGAAAAAACGACGACGGCGACAACGACGACAACGACGATGGAGGAGGGAAGACGGCGACGACGCCAACGACGAAGAAGGAGGAAGGACGGCGACGCCGACGACGACAACGACGAGGGAGGAGGGAAGACGACGACGATGACAACGACGACGAAGACGACGACGACGGCGACGAAATAGGAGGGACGACGACGAGACGCCGACGACGGACGACGACGACGAGGGAGGAGGATAACGACGAGGGAGGAGTGAAGACCACGACGACGACGACGACGACGACGGCGACGAAATAGGAGGGACAACGACGAGACGCCGACGAAGACAACGAGGGAGGAAGGACGACCACGGCGACAACGACGACGGAAACGACGACGACGCCAAAGACGACGAGGAAAGACAGAAGACGACGACGGCGACGACGACGACGACGACGAGGGAGGAGGGAGGACGAACGACGACGACGACGCAAGAGCGCGCGCGCACAATTTTGTTGAAAACCAGTGTTGCGAAACCTTGTGTTTTTGTAGGTTTTTGGACGCACGATTTCGAAATTCTTCCGAAACCCAAGGTTTTTGAAGGATTTCGGCATACGCCCGCGACGACGCGCGCGTCTGCACTTCGTCTTGTTTTTTGCAGAGGATTCTCGCGACGGCACACGCGCAAGAGCGTTCGACAGATTTCGACATGCGCGCGCGCGCGAAGCCCGTTTGGTAGCATTTTGTGAAAATCTTGGAAAACCTATGGTTTGCTTAAGAGTTCGCAAGAGCTCGCGCGTAAGTTTTTCTTTGAATCAGTGTTGCGAAACCATGTGTTTTTGTATGTTTTTTGGAAATTCAATTTTGAAATCTCTCCGGAACCGAAGGTTTTGGAAGGATTTCGGCATGCGCGCGCCACGACGCGCGCGTGTGCACTTCGTCATATTTTTTGCAAGGGATTCGTGAAAAAGTGCTATGTTGGAACAAAAAATGTCCCCGCATAGTGTTTTTTTACAAGGGAAACGCAGGGGGGGGGAACCCGGCTTGGCTGGGATGGTATGAATTCATATTTAGGATGGACATGTGGTCAGAATCATATGTAATTTACAGCACGCGCGGGGTAACCGATAAGTCCGGGGGGGGGGGGTCGAATCTATTAGTCTTTTAGAAAGGAGAATCCATGTGATGTGCAATCCATGTGGGGCAGCCTGCGTGGCGGCCACGAGGCGGCGTCGGGGCGGCCACGGCGGTAACCTAGCCGCCAGACATGCCAGGGCGATGGGCAGAGACGGCGGGAGCATAGCCGCCAGACCGCCAGACGGGCCCACACGACGAGCGGCAACGGGGCGGCGACGGCGGCAACAGGGCGGACGAGGTGGTGACGAGGCGGCGTCGGGGCGGGGACGGCGGCAGCAGCTACCCCTGAGGGCAAGCGCTGCCTGGGGAATCTTTCCAGCCCGATGCTGAGATCCAGGGCGATACGTTGTCTCGCAGGCGATGTTTCCCCCTCAGCCCCTGAGGAGGAGGAGGCGGAGGAGGCGGAGGAGGCGGGGCAGGAGGAGGGGGAGGAGGAAGAGGAGGAGGAGGAGGAGGAGGAGGCGGAGGAGGAGGAGGAGGAGGAGGAGGAGGAGGAGGAGCCTCTTCGGCGAAACATGAAGCCGTTCAGCACAGGAGGGACGCCCTGGGAGGCGCCCCGAGGGAGCCATTCGGACGCTCCCCCCCCCCCCTCGGTGAGGGACGCCCTCCGCTTCCCCCCTCGCAGTTCTCAGGGCTTTGGACCCCCGCATTCCCAGGCCTTGGCTCGGCGAGCGAGAGGGGGGGAAGCGAGAATCGGGGGCGGCCAAGAGGGGCGGGGGATGACTAGGAGGGGAACTCTGGTTTGGCCCCCGACGAGCGAATCTGTGGCCACCCCTGACTGCCCCCAGCCTCGATGGCTCGGGGTTCTCAACCCGCGGGTACCATGATCTTGTTTCGATAAGTCCCCGGACCCCCCTGGGCCGCGCACATGCCGCCCGCCATGATTTGTGCCCCCCCCCCCCTCTTGGGCGCCCCCCTCTTGGCCGCCCCCGAGAGAAGGGGCGGGCCTTCTCAAGAGGGCCCGGAAGCCCCCCGGCCTTATGACGAGCCTCTGTGAGCCTTCCCGGCAGACACTGAAAATTTCTCAGGGGGGGCGCGGAGGCTCTCAGAGAGCGCGGAGGAGGCCTCTGAGAAGTCCCGCCCCGCCTTCTGAGCAGAAGGCCCTCGCTCGCCGCCGAGGGCCGCTCGAAGACCCCACGAGGCCTGGGGTAGGGGTGGGCTCATCCCCTGTGTTGTGTTGTCCCCATGGTAGTGAAGAACGACATCCCAGAAATAATTTCGGGCACCCAGACAGTGTCGGCACGACACGCTAGCGAATGTCGAGCGAATCTCGCCCCCCAGTGCCCGACACGTGAAAACCCTCAAATCTCGGCTTTTCCTTGGCGCTCGAAAGCTTTTTCTGGTGCTCAACGCCATAAGTAGGTCGGAACGTCATAACCCCTGTGATGGCCTCGCCCCGGAATGTATTGCACGGCCCAATTCTGTTTGCAACCCACACCTCTATTGCATCAGGTCTGTTGCACCACCCCCTTGTGGCTGGACCCCCTCCTCGGTCAACCGGAGGGACAGAGGTCGGCGCATCCCCTGTGAGGGCCGCGCCTCGTCTCCCCCCCGCCGCCGCTTCCTTCCAGCGGCGCCGGCGCCCGCGGCGCCGCCCGCGGGGGCGGGCTCGCGGGCCTGCTGGAGCGGCCGCCGCTGCCCCCGGCGGCGGAGGACGCGCAGGCGGGCCCCACGGGGGGGGGGGCAGGGCTCATTTCGATTCCTCCGATCCGATTTGACTTCGATGTCGACGGGTTCCGATTCCGATTCGATTCGACTTCGGATTCCGATTTGGGATCCGGTTTCTCATTGGAGGCTTATCAGCCTGCCGATGCCGAGCGATTTGACTTTTCCCGACTCGGCTGCCGATTTCCGCCGATCCGATTTATTTCGATCGCCGATCCGACGTATCAATTCGATTCGGAGCTCTCCTGGGGGGGAGGGGACTGCCGAGGGAGTGCATCGAGGTTTTCGATGGGATCAGAATTCAGGAGGGGAAGAAACACAGACACAGGTATTCGTCGAGCCCCCGGAAAATATAGGAAATTGAAGGAAGTGGGGGGGAAGACCGCATCCCAGAAAATATAGGAACAGGTCGGAAATCTTGGAAGTTGTCTCTATTGATTTGTGTGTCCTTGTGGCCCTTCAAGATTGTGGCCCCTAGATCATGATTTTTATCCTTATCTAGCGCGCCTCGGCTGTTTGGCGCCCCTTCCCAGGAAGTCCACGACGCGCAGGCGGGCCTCAGGGGGGGCAGGGGGCTGCCGGGAGAGGGAGTCAAGGTTTTCGATGTACCCTGACGTTCGGGGAGGGTGCCTTACCGTTCTTCGTGCGTGTTGGACGTTCTTGTGCCTTCTGGGGGAAGATGAAGTGCATGCGATCGACATGTGGCCCGTACAGGCTAGATGGTTATCCATATCCAGCGCGCCAGAGTTCGGTGCGCCAGAACTCGGGTGCGCCAGAACTCGGTGTCTGCCGACGCTTTTTGGCGAGCGGGTCCAGGATTTTGACGGTGCAGCTTGCGTGGGATATTTGCAGCGGGTGCTCGCGCCAATTTTCAGATTGGGTCTCGTCATTTCAAAGGCGGCCCCGTTGTGAGCCAACGCCGAGCCCCCCGAACCCGAAGCCTGCGTCTCCCCCAAGTTCGATTCCATACGCCCTTGGCCTACCTTTTGGCCACGCCGCGCATGGAACTCATCGAAACAGCTTCCGACACCGCTCTGCTTCTGGCTTACTCTCCGTCTGGCCCGGCCCAGTCCTGAGGTGATGAGGTTGCGGAGCGCCTCCAGCTAGTCCAGGCCCTGGGCTAGCTGGAGGCGCTCGCCAACCTCATTGGACTCCCTCGGCCCACGGGAAAACATAATCTTCTAGAGCCTCTTGTGCTTGGCGTTTCCAAGCGAGAGGAGGAAGGGGAGGCAGATGAATACAGATGATGTCGATGTTGATGATGATGAGGAGGAGGAGGAGGAGGAGGAGGAGGAGGAGGAGCAGGAGGAGGAGGAGGAGGTGAGCGGAGGAGGGGGAGACGGGGGGATCAAAAGAGTGAGGACGAGGAGGGAGGACTAGGCGGGGGGAGAGGGAGGGGAGACATGGGAACAAGGAAGGAGCAGTCTGAGGGAGGAAGGAGGGGTAGGAGGAGGGAAATGATGGACGGAAGGAAGAAAAGAGGCACGGGCGCATGAGGAATGGAAATCCATTCGTTGGTGGAGTCGTTCGAGGGTCCCGTCCGGCAGCCAGGTCACAGTCATCGACCCCTCTGGCGTACCAGTGCCAGGCTGGGTGGGGACAGACCAAGCCACCTCTTGTTGTTCCTCCTTTTCTTCCTCCTTTGCCTCCTGGCCATGGTTCTCTCCCCCCTCGTCCTCCTACTTCTCCTCCTGTTCATGATGCTCCACCTCCGTATAGCCTTTCTCGTCGTTCGCCTCCTCGCTCTCCCCGCTTCCCACCCTGCGAACTAGCCTCCTTCGATGCCATCATCATCAGCAGCAGCATCTCTATCAGCATCATCATCACCATCAAAATCATCATCATAATCATCAGCATCACCATCACCATCACCATCACCATCATCACCACAATCACCATCAGCATCATCACCAGCATCATTATCATCACCATCATCGCCTCCACGATCTGAATTGGTTCGGCAGGCCTTGTTGGCCACAACGTGTGCTGGATGCGTGATTTGGCTTGTTCGGGACAGTGCACCTTTCTCAGACAAGAGGGGTGGGGAAGGAGGTGGAGGAAACGAAAGGGAGGAAGAGGAGCAACGGGGAGGTATTCGGTCGGGAATATGGAGAGGACCGCGAGGCGCAGGAGGAGAATACGTGCAGGCGTATAGTGGGGGGGGGGAGGAGGAGCGGATAAGCATGATCACGAAAAGGGCTATGAGGCAGAAGATGGGCAGGAGGAGCTGTAATGGGAGGGGGAGGAGGAGGAGGAGGAAAGGCAGGGCGCGAGCAGGGTGAGAGATGGAGGGGGGGCAGGAGGGGGGGCTCGACGCAGGGGGTCGTGGCGGAGGAGGACGAGGCGACAGGGTGTAGAAACGCGTGAAGGGCGAGGACGTGGTGGGTAAGCAGGAGGAGTGGATCGGCGAGGGAGGAACAGAGGGAAGTCTCCACGGAGGAGAACGGGTGACGCCTGCTAGACTAGCGGGAGCAACCAGGGGCTCTCAGGAAAAGGTAACACCAAGCTCCCTCGCTATTGAACAGTGTGCGGCAGTGTGGCGTGGGACTGTCTTCGTCTCCCTCCTCCTCCTCGTCTTCGTTCTCCTCCTCCTCCTCCTCCTCCTTCTGCGCCGCCTCTCACAAAGCATGCGGTGCGCCATGCCGTTCGAGCGCGTGGGCCGCGGGGATGGCCGAGTCTGCTCCTTCTTCTCATGCTTCCTCTTCTCATCCCTTCTCGCCCGTCGCAGCTTTACCGCCGCTGATGTCGAGTCCCTGGCAACAGCCTTCTCGACAGAGTTCGCAGAGAGCGAAAGCGACGCTGAGGGACGAAGGCGACAAGAGCCTTCCAAACGATCAACAGCCTCGATCCCCCTCTTCGCCGACAACCAGTTCAGTGAAGCTGAGGAGCTGAAATGGGCTTCACACCTTCTGATGATCATAGCGCCAACGGCCAAGATAGCCTTGTTTCTTGCGAGTGCGGGAGGGCTGGGCGGCGATGTGGCCGAGCACTCGTCAAGGCAATAGTTGTCCGCGCGGGGCTGCAACAGCAGAGTCGGACGACGCCAACTGTAAACCGATGGCGATCGTGGCGAGGTTAAGATGTTGCTCAGGGACAAGTAGGAGTGGCATGCCTCTCCGTCTAAACCAGCGGCTGTGGCCTGATGCAGTCGTTGGCCGAAGCCGCTGGCGGTGCCTCGTCGGCGTGGCGTCCTAAGTTCAACCTGGAGGGGCAGGATGTGACGTCCGCGGGTGCCACCCACCACAAGGTGCTTTACGTGTGTTCCTATATATTGCCCTTCCCAGTAGGTTTCAGGAGGCCCCAGGAGGCCCTAGGCTCATGCGCAGAGACGCGCTCGTACTACTGAGGCTCATTCACACTCCAATCCATTCGCAGTTAGATTCATGTCCAGACCGTCATTACTGAAGCCCGTTTATATTCGAAAGTTCTTGCGCCTAGACATTCACGGCGGACAGGTCCATGCGAATAGATGCACATATGGTGAGCCTCACGCAGTGAATAATTGTCCGCCCTCTTGCGCGTATTGTTGTTACCCGCCTCCCCCCCCTCCCTGGGCAATGGTAACGAACGTACGTGAGAGGGGGGCCTGCCCCCGCCCAAACACATGCTGGTGCTCGGGCACACACGGGGGCGATCGCAGCGCAACACCGCCCCGACGTTCTCCATCTCGTCTTGGCGTTAGCGTTACCCGCCCCCCCCCAGGTAACGCTAACGCATGTACATATGTCCATGTATGTATAGATTTGTGTGCATATACATGTGTATATATATATATGTATGAACATGTATGTGTGCATGTACATAGTGGCCAACGGCCTATCCCGCCACCGTCCTTGGGTTGTGGGTCAGAGGCCTGTTCGATGCATATGAGGGTTTCTTGGAATGCCTCTCGGATGATCATGGGATTCATATGCGCCCGGGGAAGCAATTAGCAGAGCACCTCGTGGGTGAATCAGACAGGAGCAGCGAATGTGCACGTTTTTAACCAAATTTGGCAGAGCGGCGCCCTGCTAATGAGAGGAGGAGCAGTGAATGCGCAGATGCTCTGAGGCATGTCGCAAAGCAACGCTTTGCGAATCAGAGCCCGAGCAGGATGGGGAACCTTGCTTTAACGCTAATTAGCAGTGCAGCGCTCTGCGAACAAGGGGAGGAGCAGCGAAACTAGAGGAGGCCGAATGGTGGGGCTCCCTTCCGGGGCTGCGAAACGCATGAGGGGTGTGCCGAAATTGAAGCGGCGGCGCCATGCGTACGGTGGAGCTCGACAAGGGGTCACGAAACAAGTGAGGGGTGTGCCAGAATGGGGCCGCGGCGCCATACGGGCGTTGCCTCTGGGGCATTTTAGCGCTACGAAACGTGTGAGGGTGGGCCGAAATGCGGCGGCGGCGCCATGCGGTCGTTGCCGCTCGGGCCCTCGGTGGAGCTCCCGATTGGGGCCACGACACGTGTGATGGGGTGTGAAACATGGGGCGGCGGCGCCATGCGGGCGCGGGCGCTGATATGTGAAGCTTCGGTGGAGCTCCCCATTGGGGCTACAACAACGTGTGGGGGTGAGCCGAAAAGCAGTGGCGGCGCCATGCGGGCGCTGCCGCTTGGGCCTTTGGTGGAACTCCCCATTGGAGCCACGAAGCGTGTGAGGGGTTTGTCAAAATGGAACCGCGGCGCCATACGGGCGCTACCATTTGGGCCTTCGGTGGAGCTCACCATGTGGCCACGACACGCGTGAGGGGTGTCCCGAAATGCGGTGGCGGGGTCATGCGGGCGCTGCCGCTTGGGCCTTCGGTGGGGCTCCCTATTGGGGCCACGATACGTGCGCGGGATGTGGCAGCGTATTGCGGCGACGACATGCGGGCGCTGCCGCTTGGGCCTTTCGTGGAGCTCCCCATGGGGACAACGAAGCGTGTGAGGGGTTGCCAACATGTGGCAGCGGCGCCATGCGGACGGACGCTGCCACTTGGGCCTTTGGTTGAGTTTCCCCCGGGGAAGCGAGCGAGGGATGTGCACACATGGGTCAGCGGCGCCATGCGGGCGCCGCCACTTGGGCCTGCGGTGGAGCTCCCTACGGGGCCACAAGACGTGTGAGGGGTGTGTCGAAATGCGGCGGCGGCGCCATGCGGGCGCTGCCGCTTGGGCATTCGGTGGAGTTCCCCATTGGGGCCACGGAGCGTTGTGGGGGGCGTGCCGTCATGCGCATGCGGAGGGCAGAGGCTGTGATGGGTGGAGGGGCAGCGGGAGGAGGAGGAGGAGGAGGAGGAAGAGGAGGAGGAGGAGATGAGAGGAGACGCGGTAAGCTAGCTCTCTCTTCTGAACAAGGGCTCAACTCCACAGGATGGTTGGGACAAATCCTTGTACTAAGCCCAGCTTGTCATCCCGAGTCGTGGCCTCACGGGTCCAGACGTGTCGACAGATTGGTCGCCTCGGTGTTTCGAGGCGCCGGAGGGCGACGTCGACGAGAACGATGACTAAGAACGACGCAAAAGGTGTCTTCGCCTGTTTTCAGTCGACGTCGCCGGCGACGACGCCTCCCTCGTCAGGGGCTTCGTCCTCTCTGTCTTCTTCGTCGTCGTAGTCGTCGTCGTCGTCCTGTCCGTCGTCGTCGTCGTTACGAGTCGTCGTTGTCGCTGCCGTCGTCGTCGTCATCGGTTTCGTCGTCGTTTTTCGTTGTCCTCGGCAAACCCAGTCGGGGCCGCTCGCGGGCCGTCGCAGGAGGAGAGAGAGGAGGAGAGGGGAGGAGAGCGGGCGGGGGGCGATCATGATGAGGATGAGGATGATGATGACAATGATGCTGATGATGCTGATGATGCTCATGATGCTTATGATGATGATGATGATGATGATGATGATGATGGTGATGGTGATGGTGATGATGATGATGCTGATGATGATGATGATGATGATGATGCTGACGCTGATGCTGATGATGATGCTGATGCTGATGCTGATGCTGATGCTGATGCTGATGCTGATGCTGATGCTGATGATGTTGGTGGTGATCATGATTACTACGATGTTGATGCTTTTGTTGGTGATGGTGAGGGTAAGGGTAGTGGTGAGGTTGATGGTGGTAGTGCTGATGATGCTGCTGGTGATGGTGAGAAGGATGATGTTGATGGGGATGCTGATGCTGAAAGGGAGGATCAGAATTTAGATGTTGCAACTGCTGCTGACGACGACGGTGGTCATCCTGATAAGAATGACAATGATGCTGCTGATGATGCTGATGATAGTGATGATGATGCATATGGTGATGATGATGATCATGATGATGCTGATGTTTTGATGATGCTGATGGTGATGACGATGACGATGAAGGTGGTGGTGATGATGATTATGCTGATGATGATGATGGCGATGCTGATTATGATGATGATGCTGATGCTGATGCTGATGCTGATGCTGATGATGCTACTGCTGATGATGATGACTGTGTTGTTGATGATGGTGGAGATGATTCAGATGAGTAAACTTCCCCAGTGTAGATGTTGCAACATATGTTTAGGATGCTGATGATGCTGGTGATGCTGAAGCTGATGGTTGTGCTCATGATGATGATGATGATGATGATGATGATGATGATGATGATGATGATGATGATGATGATGATGATGATGATGATGATGATGATGATGATGATGTGATGATGATGATGATGATGATGATGATGATGATGATGATGATGATGATGATGATGATGATGATGATGATGATGATGATGATGATGATGATGATGCTGCTGCTGCTGATGATGATGATGATGATGATGATGATGATGATGATGATGATGATGAGGAGGAGGAGGAGGAGGAGGAGGAGGAGGAGAACGAGGAGCAGCGTCGCCGGCCGCTCCAGGCCCTGGCGCGCGGTTCGCGGCGCTCGAGGACCGGCGCCAGCCCCGACGCCCGCCTTCGCTTTCGGCCCTCTCGCCCCCTGTGGGCGCTCCGCGCGGTGGCCTCTCTGGGCCTTCCGAAGGGGGGTCTTTTCTGCCCGGCGGGGAGGGGTGGAGGAAGGGAGGGAGTGTGGGAGGGAGCCTTGGCGTTACTTGGACGTGAGTATTCATGCGTCGGCCAGGACTGTCGAGGAGCATCTTGACCAGCCTGCGACCGAATACGCGCACGAAGGCCAGAAATGCACGGGGAATGGACGTCCGAGCGATGGGGAGGAACGGGATGGACGGAGGGATGGTGGGAAGGAGCGAGAGGAACGGGGCGGATTGGAGCCGCCTTGGGATCTGAGGTGTCCTAGAGTTGGGGTGGAAAAGTGCGCAAGATGAACCTCAGGTGGAGTCCTGGGACCGATTTTGAGCGTGTTTGGCACCATCCCCTCTCGTTGCCGATTTTCTGGGGCCCCACCACCTGTTCAGATCCCCCAGCCGCCTGCCCAGGACGAGGAGGAGGGGAGGTTGAGGACGAGCGGGAGGAGGCTGCAGTGGGAGAGAGGCGGAGGAGGAGGGGAGTGCAGGAGGGGACCCCCCCGTTTTGAGTAGGAGACCACCTGGACGCCGAAGAATGCAGTCAGATTCGCGACAGAGGATGCCCTCCACAGACTCTTCCTATCCCGTCGGTGGTACCGCAGCTGGCGATGGCGAGGAACCCTCGCCGCCAGGAGACTGTTTTTGTCACGGTCCGGCGATAACCGGATTATCGGGCTTGCCCCCCCTCTTCCCCCCCCCCGGATAACCTAACCTTGCCGGTTGTGCAGGTCCAGGGTGGGGGGGGGCGCGGGCATAAGCAGGGTTGCCCACAGCGCGAAGGTTAGGCTATCGGCCGGCCCCTCTTCCCTCCCCCTGGATAACCCGGGCTATCGCCGATTCAAAAACAAACGGTCCGCATCTGTTTCAGTCGATGGGCGCCCATTGTGATTGAACCCCCTCGGGCCTGCGGGCCGCAGCCCCCGCCCCACACCAGAAGGGAGCACAGCCCTCCGACCGTCGACGGCCTCTCCTGGCCGACTTTCTCGGACCTGCGCGTGCCAGGCTGCGACGCTGCTGCGCAGAGAAGAGGAGAAGGAGGAGGAGGAGGAGGAGGAGGAGGAGGAGGAGGAGGAGGAGGATGAGGAGCAGGACGAGCAGGAGGAGAAGGAGAGGCAGGAGGGCCCCGAGGGGGAGGAGTAGGAGGCGGAGGAGGAGGAGGAGGAGGAGGAGGAGGAGGAGGAGGAAGAGGAGGAGGAGGAGGAGGAGGAGGAGGAGGAGGAGGAGGAGCAGGAGCAGGAGAAGGAGAAGGAGGAGGAGGAGGAGGAGGACCAGGAGGAGGACGAGGAGGAGGAGGAGGACCAGGAGGGAGGGAGGGAGGGAAGGAGAAGGAGAAGGAGAAGGGAGGAGGAGGAGGAGGAGGAGGAGGAGAGGAGGAGAGGAGGAGGAGGAGGAGGAGAGGAGGAGGAGGAGGAGGGGAGGAGGAGGAGGAGGAGGAGGAGGAGGAGGAGGAGGCGGAAGGGCACGATGAGCGGCCCCCAGCAACGGCCAGGGGCAACAGAGGACAGGCTCAGCAGTTCCATTCCATGCCTTTGCTTCATACTCAGCTGGGCGCGCCGGAGACCACAGTGGGCGACGTCAGTCCGTACGGTTTTGGGCGCACATCTATTCAAATATGTCCCTCTGTCCCCCTCTCCCCCCTCCTCCTTTCGGGCGAACACCTTTTGTAAGTATGTCCCTCTGTCCCCCTCTCCCCCCTTCACCTTTCGGGCGCACATCTACTTAATATGTCCCTCTGTCTCCTTCTCCCCCCTTCCCCGTCCCGTGCCCCCCCTACCTTCCCGGGCCTGTGCAGACGATGGCGCACCTAAGCTGAATTTCTTCATCAAATTCTGCCCACGCGTCCGACAGGGGTGCAAGACTACAGACTGACCCAGACATGCGATGTCCAGATTTTTTCATGACGCGAGCATGTCTGGGACCCAGACCCCCGACGTCGTGATTGTTTTGACAACGTCGACCCACAGAGGTATGTACCCTTTCCCCTGAGTCGCTTTTCATCCTGAGCTCGGTTTTTCATCCTGAGTCGTTTTTTGACGGTCCCGCGGCCCGGGAAGGGCCCCCAGAGGCCGAAAACAGTGGAATACCTCCCGTCGCTATTTTTGTGTTTCTTTTTTATCACACCGCGAGGAGGTCTTGGAGGCTACAGGACATGTCTAACCCAAGCTGCCGCCCGCCCACGAAAGCTGCCAAACGAGGAGGCCCCGTTCCCGGCCGGCGTGGTCGCCGACCTCCGCGCAGCGGGCTGTGGCCCGCCCCTCCCGGAGCTTCTGCAGGCCGCCGAGTGGGGGCCGCCACTCTCTTGCAATGGGGAGGGCCAACTTGAACATGGGCGGATGATGATTCGATGCAATCGACATTGGCACACGGAGAAAGCGGGTGCGAAATCCGACATCGGTTCTTGCCCATTTTGAGCATCGTATCCATATTTTCCGTACCCATATTGGGTGTCCCAAGATTTAGATTTCAATGTCTTGATCCGGTAGTATTTCTTGGGATTGTGTGTTCGAACATGGACTTCTTGTGGAACGCATCCATCCTGCTTTACGCTGAAGTCCGCTGCAGACCGGCAAAGACAGCCAGAAACGATTGAAAACCGTCAGAAGACCGCCGAAAACCCCCGTACATTTTCCAAGGACCGCCGAAGACAGCCAAGGAGCAATGGTAACAATGGGTCCGTGGTCGAACACATAAGCGGGAGTGTTGTATGTGTCCTCGATATTCCGTGTTTCGACTGCACTAGCGTGCGCAAGGGTTTGGTCATCGATGAGGAAGCGTCGATGTAGCGTCGATTAGCGTCGATGTAGTGTCGGTGAGCGTTGATTGGCTTTGATTCACACGAGCCAGCAGGTTGGCATGTGAAGCTCCCGCGATTTGCCACCGGAAGTTGTTGTTTCTGGTCGGAGACCCTTTTCGAAGACCACATCACAGCATAACGATAATTTTCTGAGGTCCGTGCATATGTCTTGGATCAGCGTTGAACCCCCGGTGGCGGCGGTCCTGCGCCGAGCCGGGAAGTCCGCGCCGACCTTCGAGAATTGATGATTTCGGCGTTTTTCTTTTATCATTGTTTCATCAGTCTCTATAGTCTAGTTCCCATGAGCTTGTAGTTATCGAAGACGCCTACGGCGAATCGCCGCCGCGCCCTGCCTTTTTGGAAGCGCCTATGTGGCCGAACGTTGAGGCCAAACCTGCCAAGCCATCGGACCATGTGTTCCCCGAATCGGTTTGGAAAGCCTTCGGCGAACACGTGGGCATCTTGAAGGTCATCTTGGCGGGCCGTTTTGGAGGCCATCTTGGGCGTCTTGGAGGCCATCTTGGGCGTGTTGGAGGCCTCTTGGGCCGTCTTGGGGCCCTCTTGGGGCCATCTTGGAGGCCACTTGGGCCGTCATGGGGCCCTCTTGGGGGCCTCTTGGGCGATCTTGGGGGCCTCTTGGGCCGTCTTGAGCCGTCGGAATGCTGAGAAGAAGCAAATTCCCAAATCCTTCAAAAACTTAAAAAAGGAAAAGCAATGATTTTGGCCTCTTCGGGCCCTGGAGGACCTCTTGGAGGCCTCTTGGGCCGTCTGGGAGGCCTCTGGGGGGCCTCTTGGGCCGTCTTGGACTCTCTTGGGCCGTCTTGGAGGCCGTCTTGGACCATCTTGGGCGGACTTGGAGGCCATCTTGGGCCATCTTCGCGATTTTGTGAGGATGTCCCGAGCGAAACGGTCGTTTCAGGGAGGATTGTTTCCGGAGTTTGCGCTCCTGGAAGGGCCTCCCGGGACCCCGGCGGGACGGGCCGAAACCCACTGGGAGAGTTCTTTTGGAAAAAGAGCCAAAACCAAAACCGAGAGGTCTAGCACGCCAGGCACCCCTGCGATGAATCGACAGGGGGCGGCGGACTAATGGCCTTCGGTCCATCTTGTCACCGTGTGTGCCTGAGTTGTGGGTATCAAGCCGATTGGATGTTCGTTGGGATCTCGGGGGGGCCTCTCTGGGGCATCTTGGAGCTAAGTTTTGGTGCCTCTCGGGGGCCGTTCTGGAGTCCCTTAGGGCCTCTTTCGGCCTTTCGGGGCCGTCGTGGGGCCTCTTTGGGGGTCTGCCTGGGGGCCTCCTGGGGGCCGGGAGCCCCTTAAGAAAATAAGAGATCTTAAGAATCAATAAGGATCTTAAAACAAAATAGCGAGCTCGATTCCGCTATTTGTTTTTACAATCCGTTATTTTGTTTTACAACCCGGAGGCCTCGGTAAAACAAAGAGATTATTTGTCCTACAACCTTTTATTTTTTCTTACGATCTTTCATTTTTCTTACAATGGTTTATTTTCGCTTACAATCCTTTACTTGTGTTTACAATGCTTTATTTGTTACAACCTCTTTTTTTTGACCCGGAAGCCACCGTAAAAAAAATAAGCACCCATTATTTGTTCTTACACTTTTTTCTTACAACCCGGAGCTCGCCCCAGACCACCAAGAACCTTAACCCGAACCTTAACCCCAACCCTAACCCGAACCCTCAACGCTAATTCTAAGCCCGCGACCAAACCCTAACCCCAAACCCAGCCCCCCACCCTAACTGTAACCCTTAATCCTAATTCTAAACCCTACCCCTGAATCCAACCCGAGCGCTAAGCCGAAACCCGACCCCTAACCCAAAACTCTAAACTGCAAGCCACGGGCGGTGCAACGTCCGTAGCCCGTGGCGTCTGGCCGAGCGCTCAGCGAGTCTGCCCATACAGCGTGCGCTGCACCGACGAAGCGGCGATAGCCGCTGAGGAGAAATTCGCACGCCGCGCGGTGCATCCCCGTGGTGTTCTCCTAAGAAAAGGAACCCCTAACCCTCGGCCCTAGCTAGCGGGTTCCCCATGAGCCGATGCTTCCCCTGGGGCTCCAAACTTATGAAAATACAGCATGCGGTGCTCTCTGGGTGCTCCAAACCTACGAAATTACAGCATGCGGCGCTTCTTCGGCTGCCTCTAGGCGCTGGCGCGCGTCCCAAACGCTCCCAGGCGTTCCCAGGCGCTCCCAGGCGCTCCCAGGCGTTCCCAAGCGTTCCCAAGCGCTCCCAGGCGCTCCCAGGCGCAGGCGTTCCCAGGCGCTCCCAGGCGCTCCCAGGTGCTCCCAGGCGCTCCCAGGCGCTCCCACGCGTTCCCGGCTACTCCCAGCACCTTACGAAGCGCTCCCAAGCGCTTCCAAGCGATCCCAGGCGCTCCCAAGCGCTCCCGGCACGCTCCCAGGCGCTCCCAAACGTTCCCAAGCGCTCCCGGCGCGCTCCAAGGCGCAGCTAGGCGCCTCCGAAACGCTCACGGGTGCTCCCAAGCGCTCCCTGGCGCTCCCGGCACGCTCCGATGCGTTCCCGGCACGCTCCCAGCACACTCCCAGGCGCTCCCAAGCGCTCCCAGGCGCTCCCAGGCGCTCCCAGGCGCTCCCAGGCGTTCCCAGGCGCTCCCAGGCCTCCCAGGCGCCCGCAAGCGCTCCCAGCACGCCCCCAGGCGCTCCCAGTCGTTGCGAGGGGGTGCCGCTCCCACCCCCTCGCGCTCCTCTTCCTGCCATGCGAAGTGCGCGCCGCGGCGAACGCGGCGCCCGACGGCGAAACCCAAAACCGCTGGGCTTCCGCACCCGCGTAGCATTCTTCGCCTGAGGCAGCCAGATGCCGTAACTGAACTCGCTGCGCCTGCACCTGCACGGCTATCGCGCCCGCGTGGTCTTCGACCGTCTGCGGCGCAAGGGATTCTGCGACAGGGCAGCAGCGTGCCTTTAATGGAAGCCTTTGCACAATCTATGCAAATACACCATGCGATGCCTCTACGCATTCTCTAATGCAAACCTGTGGGGCGCCCAGCCTCTTCGAGATCGCTGAGCTCGCACCTCTGAGGTGCACCGTTGCGAGGGGGTGCCAATCCCACCCCCTCGCGCTCCTCCTCCCGCCATGCAAAGTGCAAGCCGAGGCGAACGTCACGCCTCACCTGGAAGCCTTTTCCGCAGGGCGATTCTGCGCCAGCGGCAGCCGCATGCCTTAACTGGAAGCCTTTGCGCAGACACCGTCATGGTCATCCCGACAATCTGTTCGCATTGGCACACCACTCCAAAGCCCCCCTTGATAAGGGGGGGGTGGGGGGGGGGGGTAGAAAACCGTAAACCCTAAAAGGCTTTATTTTGGGTGGCCTGGGGCGGGAATGCAAAGTTCGGAGCGCGCGCGGCCTGGGCCGCGATCCCCACAACACTCCTGGTGAGGGGGGATCGCAGCCAGCGCGCGCTTTCTCTTATGCAGGCCTTAAATCCCAAGCACCTCGTTGTGCTTCTGCCCACCCCACCGCGCATCGCCGTCGCCGTCTACGAGAGACAGGGCATCTCTGAGATGCTTGAGCATGTTGCCCGAGTGGTTCGCCTTGGCAGCTTTTGCTGCTGCCCTTCCCTTCTTTTGGGGATTGGCGCTTCAACGATGCACCCCCCCCTGATCCTCGAAGAATATAACACCCTAAACCCAAAGACCTTTCGCTTGTAAACGCCGGGGGAGCGCCGGGGGAGCGCCTGGGAGCGCCTGGGAGCGCCTGGGAGCGCCTGGGAGCGCCTGGGAGCGCCTGGGGCCTGAGAGCGCCTGGGAGCGCCTGGGAGCGCTTGGGAGCGTGCCGGGAGCGCTTGGGAGCGCTTGGGAGCGCCTGGGAGCGCCTGGAAGCGCCTGGGAGCGCCTGGGGGCGCTTGGTAACGCGCCGGGGGCGCCTGGGAGCGCTTGGGAGCGCTTGGGAGCGCCTGGGAGCGCCTGGGAGCGCCTGGGAGCGCCTGGGAGCGCCTGGGAGCGCCAAGGAGCGCCTGGGAGCGCTTCGGAGCGCGCCGGGAGCGCGTGGGAGCGCCGGGGAGCGCTTGGGTGCGCCTGAGAGCGCCTGGGAGCGCCTGGGAGCGCCTGGGAGCGCTTGGGAGCGCTTGGAACGCATTTGGGAATTTAGGGGCCAGCGGCCCTAAACCCTAAAAGGCTGTAGTTTGGGAGGTTGCCGGCCATGCGGCCGGGGGTGGGGAGATGTTGCGCCTCCTGCTCCCTTCGCCAAGCTTGATCGGGTCGGCTAAACGCCCCCCCAATCAAGCTTGCCGAAGGGGGGGCAGCCTTGCCTGGACTGTCGGCCGCTGCGCGCCCGAGAAGCCCTCAATCTTTAATCCTTATAATTATTAAACCCTAAAGCCCGCTAAACCGGTCGCTATGCAACCCCCCCTCCATCCCTTGGAAAACATATTATGTCCTGATCATGCGATCAGAAAGCTTTATTTTTTCAATGCATTGTGCCCGGCCCCGGTCGCCTTTCGGCTC